AAAATAAAGTTTTCCATTGCGTGCATTAAACCGTAATTTCAGAGTTGATCCAATCTAGATTTATCTACTAGTATTACATGTCTTACTTCCGGTTTTTAAATGCAGGAAAAAATAAATCATCAAATTCAGTGAATTTATCAATCTGCACCTTGAATATCATGATCTTCATGGTACAGACAAACTGTTTTAGGTTTACAACTGATTGTTGATTTTTAAAATGGTCAGTAGATGATAGATCTGGAGCAAATTATACTACTGTATCTAATTTTTAATTTGAAATTATACACTGACCTGTCCAACAATACAAACATATAGTTTATAGGTGTTTTTTTCTTTTCTCGGTTTGTATATAGATTATACTGTTGGTTTTCTTGAATGAAATGTTTTATAACTGGTAATTTTGGGGTCCTTAACAGATTGCTGTTCGGTGTGAGCCAAGGCTCCTTGTTGAATGTCGTACTTTGACCCACATGTATACTTTTTAACCTAATTACATTGTGACTTGGATGGAGAGTTAATATTGTCTCTTTGGCACTCGTACCTCATCTTCCTATTTATATTTCAAACTTTTTGAGTTCCTTTTAACATGTTTAATAATGATGATAACAGAACTGCATGCTCATCCAAATGTTTATGCCTAGCCTACGATAGTAGTAGGAGCATTATGTTTTCTGGTCTGTGCTTTTGTCCATACGTTTGTCCGTCCGTCTGTCTCATGTTTGGTTACAGATTTTGGTCGATATAGTTTTTGACCAAGTTATAGTTGCATCAGCTTATAGTCATTATGATTGGGATTTTCTAAAATGAATGGCAAGTTTTGGTTCTGGTCCAAATGACATGATTCATTGAACATGATTGTGTGAAACAGATTTTTTCAGGTTTAAATTTTTGGTCAGGGTAGTTTTTGATAAAGTTAAAGATGCATCAACTTGAAACTATGCAGATACATAGTCATTATGAAGATGACTTTCTAAAAAGAATGGCAAATTTGGGTTCTAGTCTGAATGTTTTGGTTCATTGAACACAGGTTGCATTGATAATTTCCCCCTAAATTACAAACTAGGATGTTGCCCTCAATTTCATTTGACAAAGAGATTAAAAATCTGAGCATAGTTTCTTTTGGACAGATATTCTTGATTATTTTTGATACAATGCCGTTGACTGAAGATAGTGATACAGGTAAATTAAGTTATATTTAGGCTGATCTAACAGTTATTGACCTGATCTAACAGTTATTGTTCAAGAGGTATGCTTCATTTTATACAAGAAAATTATGCAGCAGGCTAATCATCTTTATTCTCAATATAAACTGTCTTTTTAGTCCCTCGAAATATATATACACTTCACAAGATTTATTTTTTAACTTGATAAACACATTAATATTTATTCTGTTATAAGGGTTATTATATGGTTTAATTTTCAGGAGGATATACTGAAATTCGGTGAAGCAAATTACATGTGTAACGACAGAAGTGAATCTGACATAAGGGTAAGTTAAATTCAGAAGCAACATATTTAATATATAATTTTGCATTACAAAATATATACAAAGACAACATCCCTTGGCTGTTATATAGTAAAAAAGTAGTATTGCCTTGTTTATATGTGGTCGTTTGACCATATTGCAAATTATAGGTTGATTTGTGTTCGGGTCTGATGATTTTTTGCAGAGTTATGGTCCTTTGACTTAGAAATTTCACTCAAATAATTGGTTTTTCACATTTATTTTTTTAATGCTGAAAGCTATTGACTTGAAATTTGGCATAAAGTTCAACCATGACAAGTTGCAGTGCGCATTGTGATCTGGCCTCATGAAATTTTGCAGAGTTATGGTCCTCAAACTTAGAAAATTCATGCATAAAATATATTTTCTATTTTTTTTTGTCACATGATATAAAAAAGAAGATGTGGTATGATTGCCAATGAGACAACTCTCCACAAGAGACCAAAATGACACAGAAATTAACAATTATAGGTAACCGTACGGCCTTCAACAATGAGCAAAGCCCATACCGCATAGTCAGCTATAAAAGGCTCCGAAATGACAATGTAAAACAATTCAAATCAGAAAACTAACGGCCTTATTTATATAAAAAAATGAACGAAAAACAAATATTTAACACATAAACAAACGACAACCACTGAATTGAAGGCTCCTGACTTGGGACAGGCACATACATACATAATGTGTCGGGGCTTAAACATGTTAGCGGGATCCCAACCCTCCCCCTAACCTGGGACAGTGGTATAACAGAACAATATAAGAACGAACTATAAAAATTAGTTGAAAAAGGCTTAACTCATCAGATGGACAAAAATACAAGTGGACGTGGCCGGGTACTTGTATATCCCAACAACAAAAAGCCACTAGGATCAGATCTGAGAGTACTCAATTTGTCTGTTTATTGTTGAAATTTAACATGTGTTTTAGGATGATCAGAAAGTAAGACCACAAAGAGAATCAAACAGATTTAGAAAGACAAAGGAGGTAATTATATCTTAAATCATATTAATGGAGAATTTTCATTTTGAACTTGTCTGACCGATAGAGTTTTTACAGTAGAAATAGCATTTGGTTTTGTCTATGTTCACCTCTAATATTAAGGTCGATCCAGATCGTATTTTACATTTCTATACTCACTCATGTATGTATATATAGAGAATAACCATACATTGTATCAAAATATGAAATTTATTTGTACAAGTCTTAGAAACGGAAAGAATGCAAGGCTCCGAAGGACTTTTATAATATGTTTGTGAGTAGCTTGGTCCAGATTATACAGCAATAAAGGACAAGGTACGATAAGCCCCCGTTTAAGCCCCCCTATTTTCTCATTTTTCAAATTTTGTTTTGGAAAGCTACTTATTATGTTGAAATATTCCCTTAGGTTTGAAGTTTGTTTGGATGAACTTCAAAACCATTAATTTCAGCAACTAGGTGCGGTGAGGGGGACGAAAGGGCATCAAAAACGCCAAAAGTAGGAAAAATTACGATTTTTGGCCTGTGTTTCTTAAAATTTAATAGCGTGCGCCTACGTGACCTGGAGCAAATTATGACAATCTAGACAGCAAAAACAGTGATAATGACATTGTAATAAAAAAAAATCCTGGGTCACGTTGGCGCAGGCACTTAAAAACTAAAAAATCGTTGTACGGAACACCTCAAAAGTGAATAATAATTACAATATCTCTATAATAACGGAAAGTGTACCCCCTCACCTCACCCAGTTGCTGAAATCAATGGTTTTGAAGTTCATCCAAACAAACTTCAAACCTCAGGGAATATTTTAACATGATAATTAGCTTTCCAAAACAAAATAAGAAAAAAAAAAATAGGGGGGCCAAAACGGGGGCTTATCGTACCTTGTCCCTTCTTTTCATTATGTTCAAAAGGCGTTTAATCCTTATATTGTTAACGTCCAGCTGGTCTGTGTTATATTCTCCACAGCCACTGGCCACATCATCTTTTTTCTTTGCTTACAAAAAACGTAGTTCTGTCAGATTGTCAATCAAAAAATATACAACTTCAAGAGTGACTACCTGAAGCCTGCTCGACCAATCATGAATGTATTCCCTTATATAAATCATATAAAAATTATAAGAATTATTGGGCTGATTTTTGGTGTGCGAATTTACTATGATGAGTTTCAGATCAAGTTAATGTTTCGTTCCACTCTGCTGAATTTTTTCAAATTTACAGGCTTTAGACTTACATAAGTTATAACTTATAGACTTTACTTATAAAGACATTTAAATATTGAGCTGTTCTTTTTTATATATGTCAGTTTACCATGATGAGTTAAATATTAAGTTTATGTTTTGTTCTGCTCAGCTGATGGGGACTTTCTAAAAAAATGCAGGCTTTTGACTTTTTTAGACGGGCCTGTTGTCCTACACATCTATATATACGCCCGTTTACGAGACATATTATGGTATACTGTTGACAGTCTGTCCGTCAGTCGTCAACATGTCGGACATTAACTCAAATCTGCTTTAACCAATATGCATGTTTTCTATGTTGTGATGTTATACTATTGTTCCAGAACAGGGAGAAGGTTTGGTATCTTAAAATGTTTAATCCCGCTGCAAATGTTTGCACCTGTCCTAAGTCAGGAATCTGATGTACAGTAGTTATCGTCTGTTTATGTAGTTCATACGTGTTTCTCGTTTTTATATAGATTAGACCGTTGGTTTTCCCATTTGAATGGTTTTACATTAGTAATTTTTGGTGCCCTTTATAGCTTGCCAAGGCTCCGTGTTGAAGGCCGTACCTTGACCTATAATGGTTTACATTTATAAATTGTTATTTGGATGGAGAGTTGTCTCATTGGCACTCATATCACATCTTCCTATATCTATATATGAAATTTTGGTGAATTATTAATATCTATTGACTTGAGCTCCCTTTTTTCTTTTATAAACTACGGATTTATCGTTTCCGATTTTTCTGGGTTTTATTCATGTAAAAAGGGGGGATTTTCTAGTTTTCTGACAATAACTCAAATCAATCTCACCAGTTTGCAAGAAACTTTGGTGAATTGTTTATTTATATCAACATGAGCCCCCTTTTGATCTTTATAGAATGTAGACTATACTTTTCTGATTTATGGGGTTTTATTCATTACAAAACGGTGGATTTTTCCAGTTTTCGGACAATAACTCAACAATGCTTTCAACATTGATGTAAGGTTTAATGAGAAAACTATTTATTTTTTTTTGCAGCAAGGTAACACAGAGGAACTTACAGATGTAAGCCAGTACTCCCAAACATCTCAATCAATAGATGTAAGCCAGGACTCCCAAATATCCAACTGGAGTGATGATGTTGGTATGCACACCCTTTACAGAATCAATACAGCACTGGTCTCAGTTAGCAAGGGTTCATTCAGTCCATTAAAATACCAACTTGAAACACCATTAGAAACCGATTCTACTATACGATTGAAGAGAGTACCCTGAGGTACATCAAGAGAAAGGCAAATCAGTCTGTTGACTGCGTTATGGAGGCAATAGCTCCAGGCCAAGGAAGTGCTGTGAAGAAGATTTTTCTGAGGAAGATGAAAAATCCACATGATCAAAATGTTGTACAAACAGACTTAGTACAGGGAAACACCATTAGAAACCGATTCTACTATACGATTGAAGAGAGTACCCTGAGGTACATCAAGAGAAAGGCAAATCAGTCTGTTGACTGCGTTATGGAGGCAATAGCTCCAGGCCAAGGAAGTGCTGTGAAGAAGATTTTTCTGAGGAAGATGAAAAATCCACATGATCAAAATGTTGTACAAACAGACTTAGTACAGGGAATCCTTCAACTCTACAATGCAACAACAGATAATAGGATAAGACGCCAACTTCTAGCTTTGATATCCAAACAGCTGAGTAAGCAAGAATTGATGAAAGCTATTCCAGACTTGACAACCTATAGAATAGGTCAAGCTAGATTAGATATAACTACCGCATTTTCTTCCGGTATGCAATTTGCTGAAAAACAAAAATATAATAGAAAACGTATGAATGATGAAAAGTTGCAACATTCACTCAGTTTTTTTTTTTTTATTTTGGATCCATCCTTTATCAAAATTGTTTCTTATGGAACCAGAGATTTGAAGATGGAATCAGGAAATACAAACACTATTCCAAATGTTGTAAGAACAGCTTGCCATACAAAATTAATACAGATGTACCAGAGTTACTGCAGGGAAGTAGAATTTCAACCTTTAGGCATTTCTTCATTATTTAAAATATTAGAAGCATGTGCAGCATCTAAACGTACAAGCCTGCATGGACTGGACAATATAGCAGCTGAAGGTAGTGAAGGATATGATAATTTGATTAATCTGGTAGAAGATCTTCACAGGATGAATGTTATAAACTCTGAAGAATCAAAAGAACTGACCACTTCTATTACCAGTAGTAAGTTGTATATGAAAACAGATTACAAACTACATGTGCAGGAAGAAAATCAGTGTGCAACTCATTGTAGGACCTGGCTCCTTATTGATCCTAAAAACTCAGCTTTTCAGTCAATTTGTAACCATCATCATCTTTTCAAATGTGAAAAATGTCAAAATTTTTACAAATATGTGTGACAAAATCAGACAGGTTATTAATTCCTCTACAACATCTGAAGAATTAAAAGAAGAGTTCAACAAAGATTTGGATGATTCCATTATCAAGATAAAGAACTGGGGAGCACATATTGTAAGAACCATTAATCAAGATATCTGGAGGCTGGAAAGATTAGGATCATTGCTGAAAGGCCAAGGAATCATTATTATGGATTGGGCGATGCAGTTTCTTCCTCAAAGATTTAGAGAAAAGCAAACAAACTGTTTGGACAGAGGGGTAAACATTGGCACGTCACAGTATTGATATATGTAGATACAGACAATACTATTTGTGTAAGTACCGGTATATCATATCATATCACCAAAATATAAACATGAAGAATTAATTTAATACACATTCTAATCTAACAATACAAAAAATTTGCTTTCGATTTTAAATAAGCCTAAGATTAAAAAAGTTAAGATTTTTTGTAATTTTCATTTCTCTCTTAATATGAGTAATAGGATAACTATATTTGGTATGTGCGTACCTTGCAAGGTCATCATGCCCGTCAGACAGTTTTCACTTGACCTCGACTTCATTTCATGGAACAGTGAACAAGGTAAAGTTTTGGTGGTCAAATCCATATCTCAGATACTATAAGCAATAGGTTTAGTATATTTGGTGTATGGAAGGACTGTAAGGTGTACATGTCCAACTGGCAGGTGTCATCTGACCTTGACCTCATTTTCATGCCAATCATGGTTTAGTGGTTATATTTTAAGTTTTGTGTTTTGGTTTGTTTTTCTTATACTGTATGCAATAGGTCTACTATATTTGGTGTATGGAATGATTGTAAGGTGTACATGTCTAGCTATATATAAAACAATGAGCACACTGTATTGAAACAAAGTAAATGAAGTGTAAAACATGGTTTATATATTATAAAAACACTGAATTTCATTAAATAAATCCTCTTTGTATTACAATATTTTATATTTATTAATGACAATATGTTTTATATTTTCAACATCGTACATATACCCATGTGCTTGACGCAGTTAGGCACGATTGGTTTGCTGTTGTTTCCTTATTAGAGCACACATTAATGGCAGTAAAACAGCAGCTTCCTGACATTAAAGAAATTTCCTTAAGATCGGATAATGCCGGGTGCTATCATTGTGGCCATCTATGGTTAGCTTTACCGGGTGTATGCAGTGGAACAGGTTAGAATGATTGTCATACAACCAAAAGGGGGGAGGGGGGATTTCAAAAAGACATACAAACAATTATGAATGAAAAGACAGACAATACATTACACTCTGGTATGCTACTGTCATACTTGGGGTGTCTTGAATGACATGAAAATGAAGATGTTTTCTTTTTGAAGAACTGGGCAATGTTCAAGATGAAACAATAAAAACTCTGATCCTTTGCTGCAAATGTTGTCCTGTATAAACAAAAGAAGATGAGATATGATTGCCAATGAGACAACTTTCCATCAAATACACTTAAGTAGTAAGAATAAGGAATTTTAGGTTAAAAATGGCCTTTTACATGGAGATTTGACTCAGCTGAAAATGACTAATGAAAATAATTGATTTTGACAAACCAATGGCCACATTTATTATAATTTAAAACACAAACAACGACAAACAAATATGAAACACAGCAACAAGTGACAATAACTAAAATTGCAGGCTCCTGACTTAAGACAAGTTCATAAATGTATAACATATATGCAGCGATGTTACACTTATTTGCTGGACACAAACCCTCCCTCTAAACTGAGACAACTTAGGGAATTTGACAATTTTTGGTTATTATCTTTGATATTATTATATGAAGAGAGAAAGTTTAATGGCAAATAGTTAGCATTTTTAGTAAGATCTTCAAATATATGTAAAATGTCTGAAACTAAAATTACAGGAGGGTAATTTCAGGCTCTTAAAAGCCTCCTGTTTCTTATTTTAGCACATTAAACTCTCATATATATTTTGTTTTACTTGATAAGCCCCAAAATAAGAAAACAACTGATATTTAATGCCAACATAATTTCTTCTACAGGTATTGATATTAAAGAATACAGTTACAGTGAACCACAGGCTGGAAAATCTTACTGTGATTCTAAAATTGCCCACATGAGAACGAAGATGAAAACCTTTGTGGCTTCAGGAAAAGATGTAATAACTGCCAAATATATGAAAGTTGCTATTGATGATGGGTCAGGTGTTGTTGGTTGTCAGGTAGCATATGTTACAGTTGATAGTACAAAACAGACATTAACATCACACAAATGGAAAGGTGTGAATGCCTACACTGATATAAAGTATGAGGAAAATGTCATCAGGGTCTACAGAGCACATAGCATTGGGACAGGATCTTTTTTATCACATGCTGAAATTAACAAACTGACAAGTTCTTTTCAAGAAAACACAAAATTAGTTGTCCTTGATGATTTTAGCTTACCTTCTAAGATAGATGACAAAATCAAAGTTCAGTTGAATGCTGAACAGGATACTGTTGTACCAACTCAAGAACTTGCTGTTGAGAATACTGAGACCACAACAGTTGTTAGCATACCTGATGCCCAGATATTTTCGTGTCCTGAAACTGGATGTGTGAAAATATATAGAACATTCAGTGGATTAGAGGCACATATGTTATTTGGGAAGCATGCTTTAAAATTAGAGCGGATATCAACATTTGATGAAGTAAGAATACAGTGGGCATCAATTTGTAATGAGGTATGTGTTACCTTAAAAACACCACTGTGTCAAGGAGGCACATGCTCAACTAACATGGGATAGGGATTGAAGAAAGATAAGAAGACAACAAGATTTAAACAACATGTTAAAGATTATCTTATTAGAATATATCATGAAGGAGAACTTACAGGCAAAAAAGCAAACCTACAAGATGTAGCTAATCAAATGCGTACTTTGAAAAATGATGATGAAAATAAACTTTTCAAACTAACAGAATGTTTGCAAACCTCACAAATAACATCTTTTTTTTCAAGACTTGCTGCAAAGGAAGTTGTTTTACCTGACAAGAATGACCAAATTAACGATGAAGGCTTACTTGTTGTTTCTGCTTTTCTTGATGAAGCTTCAGTTATTGAAAGAATGTTATAGAGCAAATAATTGTATACATTGATTTTTTAAAGGGTCACTAGCTACGAGATGAAAAATATAATATGTTAATTTTTTTTTGGCTCAATCATTAATAAAATGCAAATAGTGAAATAATAATTCGCTTTTAACAGCCAATATGGTTCAATTTTGTCAAAATAAGCAAAAAAACATTGATTATGAATTATTTACTTGCAAGTGAATAATTCGACCTCAATGAATCCGTATTCATGTGAACTTCAATTTAACCCCTTAGCTTGAGATGGATAACATGTGAATTGTATGTGTAAAGTTATTTAAAGGAAAAGAATGTCAACATTGAAAGTGAAACAAAGGTAAATCATTTGATTGACTGATTCGATTCACAGAAAAACATTCTTAAAGAGGTAAAAACGATGATTAACACTTATTTTTTCAACTATATGTGAAATTAAATAGACCTAGAATAATTCAACAGCACGAGTTTGCTTAATCTATTGATATCTATATTTATGTTTACATCGCTGATATGGTCATCGGATGACTTTGGAGGTCAACTCGATAATTAATTAGATGGCGTCTAATCTCAAATACAAACGAAATAAGCTAAATATTTTTATTCCCGTGCCCTGTTAATTGTTTAATTTATACTTTTAATAGTTTGGACAAATGTTTTACATTGTTATAAATCAAATATGAGAATTTGATTAAAATCGGTGAACATGAAATTGACAGCTAGTGCCTCTTTAAACCTGAACAGTGCAAATTATGGTATGACATAACCTGTCTGTTTGTCTGTGAACAATTTATTTTTTGTATGATTACTCAAGTGTGCCTGGACCAAATGTTATCAAACTTCAATACAGTGTCTAGACCAATAACAGAACGCTGCCTATAATTTTTAAGGATTCAATTTAAAGATAAATATTGTAACACTAAATGAATTCTGACACAAATAATTAATTATTGGCTGATAGAACTATATATATATATATATATATATATATATATATATATATAGGAGTAGTATTATGATGATTTTATTCTTTCAGAAAGCAGTTGATTTTTTGTTAAGTTTTCCTTTTTAAGGCAGTTTATTGTTCAGCATATTTTGTAGCACAATGAAGCTTTATTTTAACTTTTAATTATTAATTTTAATTTTCCTATACACAAGGAATCTTCAAATCCTATATATTGGGACATTAATTTTATGGTATTGTGACCATGGGCAAAGATTTTTGTATGTCTTTTGGTCAGAGGTACATGATGTGTCACACTTTAACTTCACCATAGAACAAATCTAGATATGAAATGCCCAAAGTTTGTCAAAACGCTATAGCTTGAAGTAGGTTTGATAGTCAAGTCAACATGTTTAAAGTTATGGTTTTATGTTTCCTTCAATTTGTTGAGAAGTAAATGCCAGGTGGTTCACAGTTATAAAACTTTGTATGTGGATGCTAAATGTTAAGTAACAGTACATTTCAATGTTTATTTTGAGGCTCGATAGAAATTTCCTGCAACTTTGAAATAATTAGTACTTTTTGATGCAAGTTTTTTTCTTAACTAGTTTTTTTTTGGAATTAAGTTGCATTTAGGCTCAGTGAGTAGTATTCTCATATTGTTTTGTCAAGTAGTTCAATGGGCCAAAAAATTTTCAGTGTGAACAGTTACAAAATTACAATATAAATAAAGCCAAAACTGTACAATTTTACCTAATACTGAATACATTTAAATGGAATTAACTATGCATCATAAATGGAACATATTTATCAGAGCCGTTTTCGAAACTGCCATATATATATATATATATATGTGGTTCATTTATATTTATATTTATTACATGATCAAACATGTACTTATATAAAAAAACAGAATGTTTTACAAATTACTTAGTATTGTATGAAAATGTTACCAACTTTAGGCCATAAGGACAGTTGAAAAAAATATAATACATGTATTATTACATGTATATATCCAATACAATATTAATAGAAACACCATTTGTTTTTGTTTTTTCTATATATGAATAAAAAAGGATGGGGTATGTATCAATGAGACAAATAAATCAACAACAAAAAATGGCCGGAAACACCAACACCCAGAGGTCACCTTGTTGCCTCCACAACATGACCAACTTCCCTTACCACATTAGCACTAAATGGAACCAAAACAAATGTTATTCATTAAAAGAAAGTTGCAACAAATCTCAGAATATACATAGTTATTCCAATTATAAACAGATAACAAATAACAAAGAGTTCACATGAGACAACTGCTGAAAATAATGGGCCGTTTCAATGGTAGGCACATACAGAATGTGACATTTTGTTAATACTCTAAAGCTTTCCCTTAGATTATATGATTGTGGAATACACATATCAAAATTGTTTTTCAGATCAATTACTGCATTTCCAATAAAAAAACACCAAACTTTTAAAAACACATATACCAAAAACAAACCAATTGCAAATAAAGGTTTTTTTCCATCAAAACGTTAAATTATCTCCCCTTTTGACATGAAATATAACATTTAAGGTTATATTCCACCATTTCTTTGCATTCTATATGTAATACTTTATAACCTATGTGTAACACTATAATATGGCTTCTTTTACTTGTCTAATTATACTATATTTTAAATATAGTATACTTTGGGGGAAAATCTTGATAGCCAAAAGTCAGTAATATTAGGCGGCCAACAGGAAATTTTGAAAATATTTACACAAAAATGTGTTTTACTCAAAAATATGAAATTATATAGGACTTTATCTCAAAAGTAAAGATTTGTATTTTTCCTTTTGGGTTTTACCATTTTTTACCCACTGAAAATGTTAAAAATAGGAAAATATAGAGAAATCAGCAAAATGAATTATCTCCCTTTTTTGAATTGCTTTCTCTATCAAAAAGGCTTCCACTGAATTATCCTACCATCATTCAAATTTAAACTCACTAAAACATTTATCAAAAAATGTTTTTACTTTATATAATTTTTGTTACAAATCAACCAAAATGAGGGCCCAAAAATGGGGGTTTTGGTGTTTTTTTGTCATGAAATTTCAGAAATTGACACTTTTTTACTGTTTTGGTTGCTATGGTTACCATGGTACTGACATTCAATTTTTCAAAACTAAATTTGCTTTATGTTGGAACATGACATCTTCAGGTGAAATTTTATCCAATTCCGATGACCCCAGTGAATCACCCCCTGCATGATTCTTACATGGAGCTGTACTTAATTTTGGTATTCAAGTTTCAACAATTGAATTGTATATTACAATTACTTTGGCAAAATCATGCATTAAATTACAATTACAATTACATGTATTTATCAAAGTAATGCATTACATTACAATTACTTTTGCAAAGTAATGCATTTAATTACACATTACATTAGTAAATTTTATAATCAAGTGAAAAGAAAAATCAAATATTTCGAAAAACAACATGAAGTCACAAAAGATTCGAGCATATGCAGTAACTGTTCCATCTATTGAATTTAAGTATACATGTACAAAGTCTATTCAATACGACTTTTACATTTTAACATCATAAGAGTTTCGAAGGTTTCATCCTTCATGCGCATTAAATGTTTCAATGTATACATCTCTGTGTTTTCTCTAAAAAATTATTACAGAGATGAAGTTTAATACTTCTTTTATACTTTACGTACTTTTACAAATATTATACAGTTTTGTTTGTTTTTAATTACAATCAAAATATTTACTGAGAACTTCTTTTCTTAATTATAAAATAAACGTAGGGCTTAATTTATGACCAAGTATCAAAATGGTGAAAAGATTGATTGTAAAACAAACTAATAAGTGTTTTATGACAAAGTTGAATTATCTGTTATTTAATGATCTCAAGGTATTCATTGATCTTTTGACAACAATGGAACACTTGTACGGTTATGCTTTTCAAATATCAATCTGTTTATGCAGGACAATGTATGAAATACAATGAAATAAAAAAAACTCAATCAGATAAAGTGTTGTTTTATTCATCATGTTCATTTAGAATTGTAATTTGGTCATTCTAGTATGTATACCAATTTTTTTCAAGTCCTCTTTGGGGCAAGGCTTAATCTCCAAATACCCTCTAGTGATTTATGTAAAGTGTGAAAAATAAATATAGAAAATAGAAAATCATTATTCAAATAATTACGTTCTTAGTTAATCAAGATATCTTAAATTCTGCTTTATTTAAATCTACAATTATCTGTTAAAGATATATAGGATATATAAAAAAAAGAAATGCCATGTTATGCATGAAATTACACAACTTCTTGCCAAAGTAATGCTTTAAATTACAAAATTGCTGTATTACACTTTACATGCAATTACTTGGAAAAATGTAATGCTTTACCATGATTTACAATTACAAATTTGAATTACCCCATGCCTGGTCCGTATACGAAGGTTGCCTTTTGCAAGGATACAATTATGTCCCTATCCAATATACCCTCTTTTTGCAATGGCAATCTTAACTTACTCGACCTAAAGGCTCTATTACATTGCATTTATTGTTAATTTGTTTTCGTCCTAAACATGCATGAACTATTTGCCACTAGACGTTTAGTAACCAACACTAGATCAATCAATCAATCAAGTTTCAAACAAACAAATCATTCAGTTTACATTTAAAAATATATATAGTATTTTGAACCAGTAAAACATAATGATTTAATTTTTTTTTAT